TCGAGGTGCCGCGTGTCTCATTGAGAGAAGTGAGATGTTCACAAGATCTGGGAATCGAATTTACAGTTATTAACAACTAATAAAAACTAATTTATTAATTATTACCTTTGTCAAAAAAAAAAAAAAAAACAGTTACAAAAAGCGTTTTTTTTTTAATGACTTCTAGAAAGGAAAATGATCTCATAGATACTTATATTTTGGGCGAGAAAGTCAAATATATGTGTAGTATCTTAAATTGTTAATAGCTACATTAACCAATAAATAATCATTGATGATAATGCCATGATTCTCACGGTTGTGATTAAGAAAATGAAAGAATCAAGTTAATTAGTCCAAATCCCACGTAAAGAAACCAAATGGTGATTTAGTCCTTTAACAAACACCACCTAATTACTAGTTTTTCGCACACGTTGTCTTTTGCTATTCAAGTATTCATATGCCAGAAAGATATGAAAACACCTTAGTAGGTATTAAAATTGTTCCTTTTTTAAGGACATTAAACAATCTTCGATTAAGTTAGGGGGTGCTCTACCTAAAATTAATAGAGTTCTATATTCTTGTTTGTAATATATTCCCTTTGTTAATTAAAACAAAAAAAAAAACTAATTATTCTACAAAATGGGTTATTTAATTAATAATAAAATTGTTTCCCCTTTCCTTTTATGTTTGTTTCAATTTGCCTCTGGCATCAAAAAGTAAAACAACATATTTAAAATTACAATTATCTAACGATTTAAATGATTCAATAATATAATATTAATGAAAATAAAAATTTTTCTGTTTAAATCATACATATACTTATATAAAGAGAGTTAGATGAGAAAAGTGTCGTCTCATTACACAGCCTTTTATTTTTTAAAAAATAAAAATAAAAACTTTATTCAGAGTTCACATAAAAAGTAAAAACCATTGACTTTAATCCTTCTTCCCTCATTAAAAAAAAGTGGAACTCTTTGGAAAAGGCAGGAAGATTAGGTATCTACCTGCAGGATCACGTGCACTAGATTGATAGTCGATTAAGGACAATGGGACAATAGATTCTGTTTGGGTTAGTTTTTTAAATTGAGCAAAACGGATTTAAGATCCTTTCATAACATACCAACGAGGAGTTGGATTAAGTGGCAAACGGTTTGTTTCAGTTTAAGTAAGATCTTAAGTTTAAAACCTTGTGTACGTAGCAACTTTCGTTAGGAGACCCACCCACCATTCTGGTACACCACAGCTGGTCGAATCCGAAATAGTTGGGGTGAAACCCCGGATACCGGGCTGAAAACCAAAAAAAAAAAGTCCTTTCATAACATTAATTATTTTTTTTTCTTCGCCTCTAAAAAATAGGTCTTTAAGATAGCCAGGGTCTCGTCTCCCTGTTATTTCCTGAAGGATCATACATACAGTATGAAACAAACAGAAACTGTTTACATAGTTATACTATTATTTAACAATAACAACTCTCCAATTTTACTCCTCCTTTTTTTATATGACGTATGGAATTATATATGCAAGAAATTCATATTAATTATTGAAAAAATATAATTTCTTTATTTCTTTTCATAGGACCAATTTCTCTTTCTTTCTGCTTGAAATGGTCCAAACAGAGGCCTGTCACACCCACATCCGCTAATAAAAGGAAAACAGAAGGATGTTATTTTAGCCGGAAAAGTCAGATGTGTACTTTAATTATTACTTGATGACAGTAAGTTATGCAGTAAAAGTAATATATTATATTCAAAATTTAAGTTTTACGACTAAAATTTAAGAAAATTAATTCTTTAAATACAATATACTAATGAAAAGTTACATTTTTAAAATTATTCGAGAATATTGTGACTATCTTTAAAAAAAAAAGTGATAAAAATGATATTTTGTTTCTAAATTCCTCTCTAACTATTTTAAATCTTTACCAGTTGGCAGTTGCATGTAGTCCTTTAGGCAATTGATGATTTTAAGATGACAAAAGGAAAAATAGATTTTTTTTAAAAAATTGCCTATAAAGTTATATACACACATGTGTGCATATCATCATTAAATAAATAATGAATTATACAATATAATAGTTCTTTTTAATTAATTATTGATTTTATAATTTCCTAAAAATTTTAAATTCTTAATATTTATTTTTTTATACATTAAGTTCTTAATAATTTAAGATACTACTTTTGACGCTAAAGAAGGAGTTTTTGACACAAGACAAAATGCTGCTCGGAATACATGAACTTGGTCTTGATATTATTATTAAATACAGTTTTTGTCC